TAGTGGGAGGTATTTTGAATTGTGATTGCAGCGTGTGTAGCAAATGGTGTTAGCTGATGTGCATAGAAATTCCATCGTCTTTCGCGACCGAGAAGCCTCAAATATATTGCTAGAGTTGGCGCCCATAATTTTGGCACACACTGTATATATGTATGTATGTAGCAAATCCCGCCTTTTCGTTAACCCTTTAATTTAATATGATCGACTTTCCCTCCCCAACCTTCACACCATTAAAAAAACCCCAACAAATGAAGCCTAAGTTCGCTAGTTAAATAGCCATAACTCATTCGGTCAAGTGGTTCTTGTAAACAGCTCATACAGCCCGTATATTTCATGTGTTCGTTTCAGAGACATGAAACCCACAAATCCTGAGGTTCTTCGGTAAGTCGGCACTTTGATTTTACTACGGGATTTCAGGAGTGTTAGGGTAGATGCGCACCCTTCTTGATGGTGTAAGTTCGCAAAGATGTACCAATTCGGAGTACGACCTAGATAGAACAGGTAAAAACAGAAGTACCTCATCGTAGGACTCTCAGTGAACCACCAGGACCCATTCCTTAATTTTGCTTATGAATAAATCAACCCGTGTAGTAGTACTAAATATGAGATTTTCAAATTGGAAACGTACATTTAACTGATGAAAATTCAACTAACTACGGCTGATCCGCTCAGCATAGAAGTGAAGCAACAGTTCGTGTACGATTGTTACCCAAACCAAGGAGTAGAGTTTTGTGATAAATAAATGCAGTTATTTGCAAAGGAAAAAATCAAAACCGTCACAGTGGACGTAGTGGCGCAATTTGGTTTGAAGTTGGTAACAATAAGAGCAAAACCCAATAGAAAATTTCTGTCAATATGAAAGGAGTTTGTATTTCTTCTCTTTTATTCATTGATCATGGTACCATCGAAAAAGAGCCACGTTCTCAGATGATTTTTTCTGAGAATTCTTGCAAATATAAAATTTTAAACTTTGTGCCTTCAACGGGTGTAGATGAACTAGCGGCAAGTGGGTACAGTATGGTCCAGGGATCGAATCGAGGATTGACACACNACGCCAACTAAGCCTTTCATTCCTCAAGATTGAGCTAATTGGTCGCAAACTTGTCTGGCAGAATGAAAGTACTGGCTTGTACATCGCCTCGTACTGTACAGTGACTCAAGGTTGCTCACCGCAAGTCATTCTATAATTCAACAGGCATGCAGATCACCAATACGATCCCGAGTGTAAATCGAGGGTGAAGGCGTATCTCGAAAACAGGCGAATCCTATGGCGAAGAAATAGGAGGCTTCGGACCTAGCTTTCAATTACGAATTATGAGAAAAAACACTAATTTTGTCTCAATGGTCAGCTAAGGCAAGCCGTTCGCAAATTTCCTGGTGTGAAAGAAAACATTCCGTGGGCTTGCATTTTGATACACTGTAACGCCGACCGTAGATAGCAGAATACTATCAGATCAGTGGATGACAGTCAGTTAGTAAAAAGAGCATCATTGCTGCAGCTGTGACACTACGTTTCAGCTTGGCCCAACTCTACAAGATTTCGGTTTTGCCAGGAGGAAACTTGACCTTGCTGTTGAACTCTGAACATCAGAAAAGATGCATTGTAACCAAAAGTAAGGAAAAAACTTATAGCAGAGCTTGTCATAAGCTCACTCATCGGCCTCTTTCATGCTACACGCTCGCATTAGCAAAGTCACAGGACTGCTGGCTAGATAAAAAAGGAACTGAGGGTACCTCAAAATCGCTTTTACGTCTATTGTCGGTCCCTGTCAAATAAAATTGTCAAGGACTACGGATTTTCTTAATGTGACACAAGGTTATTTGCTTTAGTTCCTCGGACCTCCTTAATGCGCTTTTTGATAACTGGTTCATTACAAATGGTTCCACTGGATAGCTTACTCTTTGTGTGGATACGATACTTTATTTATGCCATTTCATATTGTTTTGTGAGCCCTTTGTTGATTTTTCTACAGAATTTGGGGATGTGTATTTCAGCTATCCCTGAACAAGAAATCAATTATTAGCAGTCTCATAAAAAATTTCGTCAAATTCCCTGAAAAATAGCGAGATCTACAATCCCGTGGTTCAACTTCACTTCCCACTTATGCTGTTAATATTAATTTCGAAGTGGGAATAATGAACAGTGTACTGGTGACATAAAGGAAGAATTACAAGCATTTTTAGCCGTCTTCCTACTTACTTTCTCAAAGCCTTCACTACTTCAGTATCAGCCTGCCAACCTCCCCTTGGAGCGCCTCAAGCTGCTGCTCCTTTCAATCGTGCAGTAAGTGGTCAGTTCGGCCAACACCAGCAAACAGCCTACATCCCGCAGAATCACAGTGAGTTCATTATCCAAATCCAACTCAAATATGCTGGTTACACGTACATTTCTATGTGTTTCATTGTTCCAGGAACAGAACAGAATTCACGTTCTCTCGAGCCAATCAGTGTTGGTATCGAGCACTCGAACTCGATTGCCGAGCCAACGTCATTGCAACACGATCAAAAGTTCACTCCTTATCCAGGCTATATACCTCCTCCTCCTCCTCCCCCTTCAATGTCCGGTCTTCCCACACTGCAAGGAGAGGCCACACCAGTGAGAAAGTTTTGTCGACTATTTCGTAAAACGCGATTTATTACTTTTACCATACTAGTGTTTCTGCTTTCTTTACATAATCTTTTTTACAACTGGGAATCGCATTCGGCAAAAGCAACTCCTAAATTCTCAAACGCCTGCCCTTTCTGACAGAGCTAACTTATTAAGCCACTACAGCAAGCTTTCACAAATGGTGGTTCAGAAAGAATCATCCTAGAAAGTATTTCTTGAAAAGCATAATGCGATAAAGTTACTTTTCAGAATCCCTTTAGCGCTAGCCCAATTGGCATGCCGTCATTGGATTTCGTCGGCAACTCGGTTATTTCTTCTTCACAGGATCAAGGTCAGTTTGAAAGACGTCGAAAAGCATAAGCTCAGCCCAACTGCGAAGTTGTAATTAACAAATTTGAATACTTTCCAGTTCCAATATGTCCGGTTGAACTGCGATTCATTTCTGATTTTATCGCTTGCATCCAGTCGCAACCTTTTGTGCAGAGTAATGAGGTTTCGTTGACCTGCGACTTTGAGGATGGCTCGTTCTGCAGGTTTGCCCATTCCAAGCTAGTGATAGTGACCATCAATTCATGTTGCCTGTCACCTCTCATCTTAATTGAATAGGCCACTTTTTGAGGTCAAATGCAATGCAGAAAGGGTTGAAAATTTGTAAGTATAGTGACGGATTAGCATATTCCCTGCTCCCTTCACCCCTCCATCACGAACTTCAGTGATGTCCGTATTCCCTATTAACCTGAATGGGCAGCTATCAGTAGTATTAAACTTTAAGGCACAACATATTTACCCTTTACTGCCCCACTTTGTAGAGAACGGGCTGAATTTTTATCGATTTTGTTTTTCAAGAAGATGAAACCGACTGGAAACTTGCCTAAGAGAGAAATTTGACCCGTAGAACACGAATAACGCATCCACTCGTCATAAAATGCCAAGCGCTCACGCCACAGGCGCCGGCACCAAATGGAGTTGGGTCACCATTCTTGCTGAAAACTTGCTCCTAACCAACGCGGAGTAGTCTAGTTACCGTGGGACTTTTAATTAAGACCCATATTAATCGATAGAGTTTCGAATGCTGTTTACGGATACGGGAATTGAAACTGCAAAACGGCTTCCCAAATGGAGCAGGATCACCAATCTTGCTGAAAACTTGCCCCTAACCAAGGAGGGGTAGTCTAATTACCGTGGAACTTTTGATGGAGACCCATATTAATCGATAGAGTTTTGAATGCTGTTTACGGATGCGGGAATTGAAACTGCAAAATGGCTTTCCAAATGGAGCAGGGTCACCAATATTGCTGAAAACTTGCCCCTACGAAATTTCTTAGGAGAGCTATTTTGCAGTTTTTCAACTTTTTTTTGCAATCAATTCCCATATCCGTAAACAGCATTCGAAACTCCATCGAATGATATGAGACTCCATCAAAAGTTCCACGGTAAGTTGACTACCCTCCCTGGTAAATAGTGTCTTAGAACATGGATATCATATTCACTCTGCATGGTAGATGGTAGCTTTTCACGTTCATGGTATTCGCAATATGCTCGAAGAAGTTGCTCGAACAGATGCTCCTCAAACTACGCTCCCAGTACGCTAGCATCTTTGCACTCACGCCAAGATCGAGTGACTTGGTTCGGAAAGATCTATATTAACTTGCCAAAAGTAGGCAGTTGCAAAGATGCTAAACACCGGAAGATTTTAGTTTACAGAAAAGCTTCCGTACCGAACAGACGAGGGCGGCTTGCTCCTTCATTCGTACAAGCGCTTTTATGGCAGATCTATACATCATCTCGAATGTTGGATCCACAGCATATTGGGCTCACTGGAACTGCTTGTAGCCTTGGCTCCGTAACCATGCTCGAAAGTCGTCCGCGTTCAGTTTCAACTTTTCAAATAAGTTCAATCACTTGAAATCCTTCAACTCCATCATGCCATTATGGCAATGCAGAGCGTTGAGAGCCATGTCTGATGCGAATGAGAAATTCATGAGTCTGGCAGCACATCATTTGATATTGGCGCCAAGACGCGCCATCGGTTTTGGCGCGCACTCTGGCGACGTTCCGTGGGAATGTCGCGCAGAAAGAGCGTAGCAGGGCGCCAGGCGTTTTCATAAAGAATGGATGCGATATTCGTGCTCTACGGGTCAAATTACCCTCCAGGCGAGTTTCTAAACGATTTCACCCAAAGTGGGGCATTAAAGGGCAAATAGTGCCTTTTTTCCCTCTGTGAGTTAGAATCCCAGTTTTCCCTAGCCGCTCTGAAGAATTCCATGCAGTATATTTCCTGCACATACGTTTACATACCACATAGGAATAAGTGTATCCCCAGAGAAGTCAATCCATTTGATGAAATCGCCACACCAAATCGCGAAGTAATATACAATATAATAGCCGTTCCAAAGGTCTGGTTTAATTACCTCTTCAAACCCGTAAATATGTAGTATGTAGCTTCTTTTCAATCAATTCTCATACTACGACGCTTTCTTGGCTTATGCTTAGAAATGAAGTCATGCCTCTCTAATATGCTCAATTTAAACCATGCATTTCCAGATTTCAACCTACGTCCTCACTGTTCCGAATCGGTAAGCTACCCTTGCCCTCCCATTACGCCACTCTTGCCGAGCTCTCTGGCAGAACAGTCGTACATCAACCTCGAAGAAATTTCGCTTTCATCCTTGCCCAACAGGTATCAGGGGCTATCCATCAATTATATAGCCATTTATTCCCAGTGATAGTACTCTTACAATATCAGTTATCGTTTTACAGCCATTAAAAGAAGAGGAACTGGTCATTACTGCACCTATCACGTGCCAGCGTGACGCTGGATTTCTTAGATTCAAGTAAGTGCTGTTCACAACTAACTATTTCTATGCATGCGTTCATAGGCTAAGTAACTTTTGTTTTTGTTATGCTTCCATACCTCATCCAAGTAGCTATAAAATCATCTTCAAAATGCGGTGCTTCATAGCTCACATAGTTAAGATTGTTTATTCAGCGGTATTTAGCTATATTCCTTCTTCATAGGTAGCGGTCTAGATTTTATGAGCCCTGATAACAACATATGCACCGTCTTCAATGATAAGTTTATTGGGAAATCAGGGTGCATTTCAAGGCCCATTCCACGGTAGATCTGAGGTACCTATTTCGAGTTTAATAATGGAAGTTATAACGCAGAAAAGACTATCAAAAACGAAAACAGTGCGTTAATCCGTCAAATTTGCGGAAATAGTGGTTCTTCAAACTGGTTAAAGTTTCGGGCTGTACGAGATTATGACGACGAAAGTGTAGTGAAAGGGATATTTGACGAGATTTCAATCGCGCTAGTTGCGTAAATAGGGCGTTAAAAATTGCGTTTCATCATCGGGATCATGGAATAGGGTTCAGGACGGCCAGCTGCTTGAATTTTCAACATATGTGTTCCATTACGAATGGAAGGCTCCTTAGAACACCAGCAGAAGTCAACCCTATGTGAGAGTGGTTGACGATGATGGCAGTTCTTGAGCTGTCATTACGCTCAATCTAGGCCGTTTTTCTAGTCGATGATGGTTATGTGCTATCTTTGAGAGAGATAGATCGGCCCCAGTGGACCATCCTGAAAAATATTTTTGTCGTTAAACCTTTTCTTCAGTAAAAAAATTCTTCTATTCAGCTACTGGCTAATTGGAGATCAATCGGCTACGGTTAAAGTTTGCACTCAAGACATCCAGGCCAGATCTTGTACCAAGGTGGCGACATTGCTTTAATATGATTCTATTCGCTGCATATTTTTTGCCATATTTAAATACATTTCAGTCCATAGTTTATACGGAGACGTCGTTGGTGGCAGTGGAGGTCGTACATCCACAAGCAGAAATGTTTGACGTTGAAATTATCATCACGAATGTAACTCAACCAACACTCTTCATACTCGACGACATTGAGTACAAGGCTAACTTGTGTGAAGATTCTCAACCTAGTGTGAGTTTTTAAGTGAGACCAAAAGTGTTTTTGCATTCGACAAATTAGGTTTTCAACAATATGAATATGTATGCTTGTAGGCGGGAAGTGGGCTCGTCCTGGTGCCCCGACTGCATCGCTCATTGTTTTTGTTTAGCTGTGAGGGGTGCGTACAACTTTCTTGGACATGTTCCTGACAATGAAGAATAGGTGTTCTGGAAGATATCGTTGGCGCTTTCCAGAGCACTGATAGGCAACCAATGCCCTCTTCAGGTGAAAGGCACAGTTCACGATAATTTTGGGTAGTCCAGATTGTGATGAAAAATGGAAGGCAAGATCGAAAATAGTGCGATAAACGTTAAGAAACTGCGTGAATCGGTGTTCCCAAAGTGAAAAAAGGCTTCGAAGAACCGTTAAAAAGGGAGCTGCACGAGAAAGAGACCAGTAAAATAAAGAAGAGTGTGGCGTTCGGACG